GAAAATGAAGGGCCTATAGGCTACTACCTCAGCCCCACCATGGATTTATGATTATGGCATCTCCAGATGGCAAGAAATGGCATTCTTACTCGAAATTGAGTAGAATTTTTTTTTTCTCATTTTTAAAAATTTTGAATTGATTGAATTGATTTCTTTTCGCCAGGGGGTGGAGGAGCCGGAGGCGGCTGATCCCCTCCCCCTGAATCTGACACTGAAAATACATAATACGAGGGTGGCTTAAATAGATTACAGAATGTATCATCATAAATGGGTGTAACATTTCAGAAATACCGGTACAACTGTAGTTATCTGTTCTCTCCACTAAAGCTCAAGTGGTTATGTTACCAGATTTGCAATCTGAACGTCATGGGGTTGAAATCCCAGCTGAATCACTTGTCACACAGTATGAACGTACCAGGGGCGGATTTAGGGGGGCGGCCCGGCCCCCCCTTTTGGGAGGTAAAAAAAGAAAAAAAGAAAGAAAAAGAAAAAAATGATAACCCAGAATGCCTCAAATGTTATTTTCGGGCGTCTAGAACACAAAAATTTCCGGACCCCCTAGGACATTGTTGTCTCGATTAGCGCAAATTTCGGTCCCCCCCCCCCCTTTGGACATCTCTGGATCCGCCCCTGCGTACTGAGTTTAAAATGATAGACCAACGATAACACATCGGCTTCACCCAAAAATTTCCGAAATTTGTATTTGTTGCTTTATTTAGAACTAAAAAAAAAATAATCACTATCATCATTGTTTATGTTTGTTACAAATCGCTTCATTTTTGTGCACCAACAGCACATACCGTTATCAACTATTCATGAGGAGCTGAAGAGGCCCGATAGTTTGTACACAGTCGACTTCAAGTTTACCAGGAACACAGGCTATGAGGGTAAACTTTCTTGCAAACTCAGAACTTATATTAAAGACCATGGTGGAGAAAGACAAAGGTTAGCGCTCTTCCGATTCAACTGTATGAGGAAGAGCTCAACGCCATTAGATGTAAGTATTTTAAAAACGTCATGCAATTATCTTCAGGCCTGAAATAATACAACTACAGTATGCAATATATATTTTTATATTACAAGACCTATATACTCTATATTGATATATAGAATAAATTTTAAAGTTACATCCACAGAAAGCCTGTTTTAACCTCTTTATATTGGATTCTTTCAGTTGACCGTTGAAAAGGTCGAAAACAGCAGATGCACTGTCCAAAACCCAGGCCCTAGGAACATATTGGATATTTTTGAAAGGTGCCTGGAACATGTCACAAAAATCATATCTTCAAATTTGAATGGGGTTTGGGAAAAACGCTTTGCCGAATCTTTAAATATACCTGCAAGTTTAGTGAAATCTGCCGAAGAAATCTGCCTAATCGAGAAAGCTCTGTATGTGTTCATCGGAAGTCGGATTGCCACAATGGCCGACAATGACATCGTATTCGACTTTATCTCAGCATCAAATAATATATATAAAGAACTTGAAAGCGAAGCAACGGAGAGGAGAAAAAACCATGCTGCTAAATCATTAAGTCTACCACAGGGTGCAAAGCTAACTAAGCCAAGGTATAGGACTACAAGCTGCTCGGATGATATGCATTCAGCACACCTGTCCAGGAATCCGGTAACTCCGGCTCCTCGACGTCAATCAGTATCGTACCATTGGTGCCCTGAAATGGGTAAAGTAGTTTGTTGTGATAAAGATGTTGCTGCTGCTTCCCCCAAATGTATGCTACCAGTACATGAAGACAACGGTACCTCATCTTCCAACCACCATTATGAAGAATCAAACTCATAAAATTAGCTGCTGCATAGTGAATAGGTAGTTGATGCATCTTCAACCGCAAACAAGTGTTATCCACTAGATGCTATTGATGATACACATATTGTGAAAGCATTGTTACATCCTCCTCATATAAAGAGGTCACTACGTGGTGAAGACATTAATCCATCTTGCACAACAAACAGCCACTCTAAAAAGAAGCCATTAGGAGAATCTACAAGAAGTCAGCCTCTGTATATAGTATGGTGAAGATGTAGTTGACAAATTTGTCAAAAAACTAACAATAAAATAGTGGAGGTGATGCATCCACTTCTGAAATTACTCTAGCTATCAACTCACTTTTGATGATTCATCAGACTAAGAGTTTCAGAATACATGTACCGTATTTACTCGAATCAACCCCTGCTTTGATAAAGTAATGCGTTATGCTCACGCAGTAACACATTTTGACGGTAATTATGTGTTGTAATTCCACATTTACTGTGAGAAATTAGGGGGGCACTTATTTGAGAATATATGTATCAATTTTACACTAAAAAAATAAACACCTCCCTTAAATAAAAGCGCCCTCAAAAACTCTTTTCAACAACTACTGCCCCGGTGTGTTTATTCCAATAAATACACGCGGTATATGAATCACAAAGGGTATATGAATCATAGAGGTTTGCATCATGTTCTTTGTCAGTACTCTCATGTATATATATATCATATTCAATATATCCCAATGTGACCTAGAAACATACTGAAATATACTTTTTTTGAAAGCAGGAACCCAGATTTTGATAAATTATTGATCATTGATTGGTGTTAATGTGGAAGAGAAACATAAATTCCTGTAACGATACACCGTAGCAATACACTGGATGCTAAGTTCATTCAAAATAACAGCCAATATATTCTAATATACCCAGCACATTGAATACAGTATAACCAACAGCTTCATGATACAATATCTTGCTCATTTGACCTACATCGTATAAGGTAATTTAAATGCAACTAGATTCAATAGTATATATGTATCAACCAAGGCATATATATTCATAGGATATATTTAATGTCTACTTCAGTACTGATTTGCAGTACTATAACAATGTATTTCTATCAGTCCACTAAACATAGAATTTTTCCATGAAAATACTAGGTTAGTAGAAGCAGTGTTACCAGTATATGTTAGTGACACTTGTAAAGCAAATTTTTAATCATTTTTTACATGCTACACTTATGCGTTTACCTTCAGACATTTGTATGCTGTACCTAGAGTCAAATTGTGAGTTCACATCCTACAGAATCAATGTGCAACTACATCAGTTAATGATTTTCGTAAAATTACTACTGGGTGAGAAAGACCATTTAAATAATTCAACACAACCAACAAAGTATATAAACATACGATGAAATTTAAAGACTTAAGATAAATGTGATGATAAGGTGACCATACATGCAAAACAATGGTTACAAAATAACAATGTAATGCAACATAATTTGAGAACTTTTTTTTTACTTTTGAAAAAAATACATACATTAAAATTATATATAAAAAACTTGTAACAGGAGAAATAATTGTATTATAGTTTAGATATCTGTACTGTTTTTTTTTAAAGATAAACAGTCTGGTGAAATATAACTTTGATAACAGATATAAGTTGAACTTGCTTAAGTTGAATCCAAAATGGCATTAAAAAATTGTTCGACCCGACTTAGATAAAATTTGACTTACAGATCAATAATTAATCCAAAAGAATTTGGCATGAAAAAAAAGATCGACTTGAAAAATTATTTGAGTTAGGCAAAGTCAACTTAGGCAAGTTTAACTGCAATTTAACATTACACTGCTTAATTAAATAATTATGCAAGTTATCAACTGGCAATTAATAAATGCAATTTTTGATGTTTACTAAATATTTTCTCAATTTTTAATTGAATGTTAATAACTTAATTAAATAAACTGAGCAATTCAAATACAGCTCTCCCTCTAATTGAAGACCACTTTTCTGTGGTCTCATATTAACTAATGTTTTCATAATCTAATTAGAGATCAAAGCTGCTAAAGACCATTAAAACCCACTCCCAAAAGTGCTCTTTCATTGAAGGGACACCTGTGTATTAAATTATTTTTAGTTCATCACAGACCTTTAACATGTCATTATGGGACCAATTTGAAGACAGATATACTGGTAATAATACATATACTAGACAAAACATCAAGGAGCATTTTTATTTTGCTGACAAAATAGCCAAACACTTGCGCCACCATTCCAAGACTTACTAGAGTAGCCCAACATTTTGTTTGATGCACACTATAGCAATTAACATTGGAATTATGGTCGGGAATTTGGAAATGCTACCTTGAAGGCGTTCCACGTATAATTATTTGTAGATAGATACAACCATGGATCTAATGAAATACTTTTGATGGGAATCACCCCTAACACAAGACCACAATGATTGAAGTGAAACAACTTTATACATGCTGCACTCCTCAAACCCTTCCAAAATGCCCCTCAAAGGTACAAAAATATCACAAGTAATCACATGATTATATAATATAATATACATAATATGTGCTTTAAACTATATAACAAAAATACTCTTTTTAATAATTAAATGAACTCTTTTTGGCAATGTAAACAATAGTGAATATAATATCAGTTTTATGCACACCATTGACATCTAATAGCAATCTGTTTAATATACTCTTAAATATTTATTTTTTTAAGGTAACTTTTTAATCAACATTAAATGATTTAACACATATGCAACTCTAAATAAAATTTTCATAAGGATAAAAAATATTATAGCACTAAGCTACTATAATTGGCACTGTTAAATGAGTGTAAAAACACATCTGTTATTTACCAACACAAGCTTTCCTTGTTCTATCTAGATGGGTGAATAAATTTAAAATTGTTAAACGAGTTTTCTATCTATTTAGGTCAAGTTATTGTCAAAGGGTGAATGCAAGTTACTGCAGAGGTAATCACCCAATAACTCTAGATTATTGACAGCATTCACACATTGCATACTTATTTACTATAATAAGATCAAATTTTAAACGGTGGTCAGTGGATGTACGACATACAAGCCAATTTAGTTCAAATTCCAGCCCTGTGTGTGAACAGCTAAGTAGATTTGAAGGCATTTTTCAATTTATCTTTTCTCTTGCTAAGCAGAACATCCTTGTTTCATATAATTAGCCTAGCAGGACCAAATCTACACCTTAAGCATGTACACATCAAAACATGAACCATTAACAAAATAGAATGAACACATTTTACTGACAGATGGAAAGAATATCTTTTACTGTTAACATTCAAGTCTCCTCATTAGAGCAAAATCTTATGCAACATTATTTAATCACATGCACTATAATGATGGATAATTTCAGAATCAAGATTACCTATTTTGGCCTTTCTCTTAAAAGTAGTGAATTAACTTGCTTACAACACAAGAAGTCTGCAGAAGTACTATGGTAATCGGAAAAAATGTCTTACAAACAGGCGGACGGAGAAAAAAAAACAGCAAAAGAAACAACACAGGAAAAAAATGAGACGGTGATGATGATTGCATTGTTATAAGGTATAGAGAGGGTTTTAAAGTTGGATAAAATTGACAATTTGTTTGATTAAAAAATTATTCAAATAGACTGTAACAGATCAAGGTTAGTTTTGGTGGGTGTTAATGTTACAATTGCACAGAGTAGCACAAGACTGTACAGGAAATTATAATCTATGAGTTGTCATCCATCATTGCTCAACCATTGCACATATAAAAACAGGTATTAGTTACGATTGTTGAATACAACAGACAAATAGATCACCTGGTTCATTGCAGTTAGTTTATCATGACTTCATGGCTGATCTGGTTCGTTTTAGATTATCATGCCTTTACGGCTACATTGGACTCAATTAGTACACTGTCTATAAAAATGTCATAATCCTCATTTGATGTGTCAGTAAGATCTACAACTAGTTTGAATTTGTGAAAGGATTCCTCAACTTTCTCTTTGATGGTAGATACGAAGGCCTTCCCCTTGACGAGCTTCTGAAAGCAATCGGAAGCTTCATCACTGTAAAACCTATAATTATCTGCTGGCACAACCCCTGAAAAAACAGTAACACCACCAAATATAATCAGTACAGAAGCTTTCATTATGTTCAATACCCTTAACTACCAAAACAACAACACATGACACCCTTTTGCTACCAAGCAATACTTTCCCAAGTGGTTGATACGAGTAATGCTTCTATGGCTAAGCCACAACATCCTTAGCTTTATCAACAAATATGTATAGAACTAAATATTTAAGACATTGTACATGAACTTAAAATTAAATTTACAATAAAATATATGTTCCATAGGCAACATAATGATGAGTTTTATGACTAACTAGCAAACACTTTAAATTCAGGACTTACCACTAAGTTTGGCTATAACACCCTGAAATGGTAACTTTCTAAACTGAAGAGTCAGAGGCCGGATGTCTTTTAGGTCTACTATGTCAAAATCTCCTTCATCAATGCGATAAACATTCACGTATTCCCCACGTTGCCCCTCGCACACCTGTGCCCGTTGCCACTGATCGTTTAAACACACAGCGTATATTTCACCTTCTTGAATGCCACTTGATGGCAAGTCTCGAAATGTCTGTGAAAACAAAACATCAAGAGTTTCTTGCAAATCAAAAATAATCAGTAAATCAATACAACTTAAAGATGAGTTAAAATCTATCATTCCCACTTCTGGCATGAAATTTCCCAATAGTAAAATATAAACAATAAAAAATTTATCATTCCAATAACTGAACTGTTTACTTTCTGTAGTACAGCCACTAAAGTAGATCTAGAGAAAACGGCCTAAGTGTATTACCATTTTGATCTCCCACATTTCTTTTTATTTGTAATTAAAATTGTATTTTATGTTTATGGCAGATTAATTTTGCTAAATGAGAAAAAAAAAATATTTTCTTTACCACTCCTCTGAAAAAACTGAAGTATAAAAAGTTTTGCAATAGATGTAAATAAAACTGGAGAGAATGTGGCTTTGAAAAATTATCAGACCCCTGCAATGCTACTGTTTATGGAAGGAATTTCTTTCCTACTAAGGTTATTATGCTACTTTTCTATCTTCATTGTATCTATTATTTACATGAGATCATATTACTTAACCAGAGAATACTTACAGAAGTAGAATAATATTGTTTCATCTGTAGCAGCATTGCTTGGAAATGCTCAGACTGAACAAATGGCTGGCACTGCAAGTTATAAAAACAATGATAAAAATTAGAAAATGCTTAATTTCATTAAAAATTATAGTAATTATTAAAGAAACTTTATTAAAGAAAAATTGTGTATCTTGCATGTTTTAATATGTTCAGTTTCACTCATAAGCCAGAATTGGCTGGTTTCTGTTTTATGGAAGTGTGATTAAATAAAGAACTAACTTAAAAATCATCTTGGCACTGAAAGTCGTACGAAAATTAAAAAAAGAAAATTTTAATATGGTATAAACCTGAAGAAGAACCAAACTATAATAAAATAAAATGAATAAATATATATATATATATATATATATATATATATATATATAAAATAGTAATCACTATCACTATTACTCATACATATATATAGACATACATATATATATAGCTCTCTCAATGTGAAATTGTCGGACTGTTAGATACAATCAACTAAATAAAGAACACAGAATGGTAAGGAAATTAGAGAAGACAATAAAAACACCCAACCAATTATAGTAACTACTGTAAAACCTTGAATTGAAGCCTATTGTGCTTAACCTCGAGAGGCCTATATATATATATAATAAAATTCTATTCTAATTGTTTACAAAACTTATTGCTAGTGAACAAGTAGATAAATAACTTATGTATTTGCTTCTGTGGTATTTATGTTGCTACGCAGCAACCTTTATTTCTTAGAAAAGGGTTAAAATAGTGCTTGAACAAACAATAATATAAAGACCGTATCAGAAATAGCCTATCAATACAAAATTCCAATAATTAAAAAAAAATTTCCCCAGTGGTAAGTTTTTCAAGTAAGGAATTTTATTTCAATAGGCTATGTCCGGTACAATCTTTTGATCATTGCTCCTTTATTCGCAGCAGTATTTTTTCAATTATATGATTATTTATAGAAATATATATTAAACTATGTATTATTACACATCT